AAAAATAACTAACCTATCTTATAAATTAGTGAATACAAAAAATGACTTTACGATGGATGGATATGTATATTTAATTGGTGGTAATTTAATGGAAGTCAGGAAAAGTTAATTACAAGAAATCGTGAAAAATTACTTGAATGACAAATTGACAATACTTACAATATGTTACTACTTACTACCAAGGTCACAAAATCACTAAATAAATTTCATTACAATCTTTTTTTCCATTCAAATTCATTACAGTTTAAATTGTTGAAGATTTTAACCCTATTTGTTATGTTTTTTTTTATTCAGCTATTTATTATGGGCTTCCTTTGGTTCCTGCTTACATGGGATTATCTAGAAAACAAAAGAAAAATATTTCAACTGGTATTAACTTTGCTTCTGCTAGTTGTGGGATTTTTTCCGACACAGGAAAGCGAGTGGTAAGTTTCAATATTCTACAAAAAGATCTTTGGAATATCTATTCAATGAGTTTCATATGATTGTTTGTATGAATAGGGAAGATGTCTCTCGATGAATGTCCAAATCGATCTATTCAATGAAACCATCGAGAATAATCTCAAGAAAAAGTTCACGACGCAGCCAGAGCTTAGTAAGCACTTGGATGAATCGTTGTTTATGACTGCGATTGGGGTTAACGATTACGCTTTCTTCTTTAACAAGAATACTACCGATCCGAATGACTTCGCAAACAGGCTTCTTTACGAGTTCTTGCTACAAATCGAGGTAAAACAATTGTTACGAATTTTTTCCCTTGGCCATCACAGAATCTAGTTTCGGATAGAAATGTATAATTCATATCAACCAAACCAAACCTATATGAAACAAACAAATAAACCTATCGGTAAACCGAAACGACACTTCCTTAGAATTGTTTAATGTTTAGATTTTTCGGAAAAAATGAAACATAATCGAAACCAAACCAAAAAGAAGGAAAAACAAAAGAGCGAACGGAAACATCATTTTGTTTAGAGATTACAAATATATATTATTTTTTAAAAGCAAACAGTAACAAACCAATATTTATCGATTTTTGGCAGTTACTTTTTCTAAAATCGAAATCTCATAAACCGAGAAACCCGAACCGAAATCATAATTATCATGGGTTGAACACTTCTAGGTGTAAGGATTATGGTAAGTTCCAACCTAACAACGTAAGGGTTTTAAGTGTTAATCAAGATTTGTTTAGCTAAAGATTTTGATTTTTGTTGCAGAGATTGCATAGGTTAGGAGCAAGGAAGTTCTTCATCAATAACATTAAACCTTTAGGTTGCTACCCAAATATCATTGCTAATACGTTACCACCTGGAAGCTGCGACGATTATTTAAACCATGCGATCACGAATTTCAATGTCAAGCTAAGAAGAAGCTTGTCTCATTTGAAGCACACACTCTCCAACACTTCCTTTCTATACTCAGATTACTTCAACTTCGTGTTGGGACTTCGTGGACCTTCGAGCAATCAAGCTAGTTGGAATCTATTGAACACGACAAGCCCATGTTGTCCTAAAGTTTATGATGGACGTTCCACCACGACTTGTAGGCCATTTGCGAGGGCATGTAAGGAGCCCGAAAAGTATGTTTTCTTCGATCCGTTTCATCCGACTCAATTGGCGAATTTCATGTATGCGTTTCAGTGTTTCCAAGAGAGAAAAGTTTGTCATGTGGTGAGAAATTGAGCTTAACTAGTATATCAACTGAATAATAGAATATTGAAATAAGAACCGAAGAACAGAAAAAACTATGATATGTAATAATCATAAAACGTTGAAACCGTTGGGAAGCTAGTTTTAGATATATTATTAACGTTTGTTGGGGTTTTATAGCGAGACCGCTTTTTAAAAACATGAGTACTTATGAA